CCGCAGCCCCGAGCCCAGGCAGGCCTCGCTCGAGGGCCAGGGCAGGCACTGCAGCCCCGGAGCGCGCGGCCGGCCCTTCCCTGAGTGGCTTTAGTCCCGGGTGGTTTTAGTTTTGTTTGCACAAAAGCATTCTTTACCACGAGCACGCGTTGCTTGTGTGATGAGAGAAAGACCAAACCAGCAATGCGTTAGTAAACTGGAATCCTACAAGCATCAGGCGCCGGCCCGGTGGGCTCGAGCCCCCGGCCCGCCGCTGCCGGCACAAGCCGGACCCTGAAACCCGCAGCGGAGAGCGCGGGCTGGGGCGGCCACCGGGTTCTGCGCCCGCGCGCGCCGGGCGGCGGGGGGCGCCGCGGGGAGGGCGAGGCGGGACCACGGCGTGGACTCGCCGGGCTCGGGAGCGTCCCGCACGCCCCCGGCCGCCCCGCCGAGGGCCGTCTCGACCCGCTGCGGGGGACGCGCGGGTCCGCGGCGGCCGTGCGCAACCACGCATGCGCAGCGCCGTGGGCCGCCGGGAACTCCAACTCCCGCCGTGCCCCGCGCGCCTCCGGAAGTGGCCGCCCGGGTCGGCGGCGGCCTCGGCGAGCCGGTGGGTGTGGGGGGCGGCAGCGAGGGTCCGATGCGGAGACTCGGAGCCCGAAATGGCTTCGGCGGGAGGCGGCGACCGCGAGGGCGCCGTGCCGGACGCCGACCGCCCGCACCCGCGGCCCTTCCTGATCGGGGTGAGCGGCGGCACCGCGAGCGGGAAGGTAAGGCCGGCCGGGGGCCTCGCCGCTGAGCCGCCGCCCCGGCCGCCGAGGTGCCGCTCCCGGGCTGACCGGGCAGGGCCTGGCCGGGGCCGGGAGGAGGGGCTGCAGGCGGGGAACCGTGCTTGTGTGTCCGCAGTCGACTGTGTGCGAAAAGATCCTGGAGCTGCTGGGGCAGAACGAGGTGGACCACCGGCAGCGCAAGCTGGTCATCCTGAGTCAGGACCGGTTCTACAAGGTCCTGACGGCCGAGCAGAAGGCCAAGGCCTTGAAGGGGCAGTACAACTTCGACCACCCAGGTAGATCGGGGCCGCCGCCGGGGGACGCGCGACCTGCGGCCGGACCCGGGGACCCCGTGCGGGCTCGCGTGTGCCCCCGCCCCCCGCCGCCCCGGCTGCGGGGGTGAGGCCGGGGGCCTCGCTGAGCTCGGTTGGAAGCCACCGCCTCCCCTCTGCCCGCCCGCGCTGCTGCCCCGGGCCCCGTGCTCAGAGGCTTGGGGGGTGGGGAGCAGTGAGTGACCCCGCGCCCCGGCCCTGAAGGCAGGGGAGAGGGGGCAGGGAGACACCCGCCACTGGGGCAGGGTCCCGCCCTGGCCGGCCGGCCCGCGCTCCCAGGGTTCTCCCAGGGAAGAAAGCGGGGAGGCCTCGCCCCTCCTGGAGCTGGCTGCTTGCGGGTGGGACGGGCAGAGGGTCCCGGCGCCGCCTGGTGTGCTCCCAGGGGCGGCCTCTGGTCTGGGGTCCTCCAGCCCAGCACCGCGGTCCCTGCTCATCCCGCCTCTCGCTCCCTGGCCCGCCCGCAGACGCCTTTGACAACGACCTGATGCACAGGACTCTGAGGAGCATCGTGGAGGGTAGGACCGTGGAGGTCCCGACCTACGACTTCGTGACCCACTCGCGGTGAGCGCGGCCTCTGCCGTCTCTTCCCGGCTTCCAGGCCCCCGATGGCGTCTGCGCCCCCAACCCTGCCCCTGCTTTTTTTTTAAGATTTATTTATTTATGTGAAAGGCAGAGTGACAGGGAGAGACAGATTGTGCACCCACTGGTTCACCCCACAGATAGCTGCAAAATGGCCGGGGCCGGGCCAGGCCACAGCCAGGAGCCTGGAACTCCATCTGGGCCCCCTCGTGGGTGGGGGTCCACGCACTCGAGGCGTCTTCCGCTGCTTCCCCAGGCACGTCCAGCAGGGAGCTGGATCGGAAGCAGGGCAGCCGGCACCTGAACTGGCAGTCGCAGTGCCGGCCTAACGCACCGTGCCGCCGGGCTGGCCCCCCGTGTCCGTGCCAGGCGGAAGTGGACATGAGCAGGGCTGTCCCCTGTCCCCCACAGGCTGCCGGAGACCACGGTGGTCTACCCTGCCGACGTGGTCCTGTTTGAGGGCATCCTGGTGTTCTACAGCCAGGAGCTCCGGGACATGTTCCACCTGCGCCTCTTTGTCGACACGGACTTCCGACGTCAGGCTGTCCCGGAGAGGTGAGCGCCTGGGCCGGCCGGGGCGTGGGGGTGACCGTGGGCGGCCTGTGTGCCCCGGGTGGAGGTGACCGGGTCCTGGTGTGACCGTGGGCAGCCTGTGCACCCTGGGTAGAGCCGGCCGGGGCGTGGGGGTGACCGTGGGTGGCCTGTGTGCCCCGGGTGGAGGTGACCGGGTCCTGGTGGTGACCGTGGGCAGCCTGTGCACCCTGGGTAGAGCCGGCCTGGTCGTGGGGGTGACCTTGGGCAGCTTGTGTTCCTGGGGGTGACTGTGGATAGCCTGTGTGCCCTGGACGGAGCTGGCTGGATCGTGGGGTGACCGTGGGTGGCCTGTGCGCCCTGGGCGGAGATGGCCGGTTGTGGGGTGACCGTGTGCCCCGCCCCCCGCAGTTCTCCGGGACGTGCAGCGGGGGCGGGACCTGGAGCAGATCCTGACGCAGTACACCACCTTCGTGAAGCCAGCCTTCGAGGAGTTCTGCCTGCCGGTACGCACTCGGCTTCCTCGGACAACCCCTGCCCCCTCGCGCCGCAGCCGCGGTGCCCAGGGCTGAGGGCCGAGTCACAGGCGACAGTGAGCGGCCACTCAGCGGCGTGCCCTCACCCTGGGCGGGCGTCTGACCTGTGAGTGTTCGCTGGCCTCGGCGCAAGTGCGGAAGCAGTGCCGTCTCCCCCTGAGCGTGGCCACGCTTGGCTTCTGTGCTGGGCAGGGCGTCGCCTACGTGGCCCGGGAGTCTGCAGCCAGCACCCAGGGAACAGGCGAGCCTCTGGGATGGGAGAGGCGCCTCTCTCGGCTGCTCCGCTCCTGCGGCTCCTGCGGCTCCTGCGGCTCCTGCCCCATCCGCTGACGGCCCGGCTTCTCAGGGTGCCCCCAGCACCTGCGCGCACCCTCGGGAGGAGAGCACTCACGGAAGCCTCCTTGTGTCTTGCAGACCAAGAAGTACGCGGACGTGATCATCCCGCGCGGTGTCGACAACATGGGTAAGCGGCCGGGCCTCCAGGTGCCGGGGCCTGGGACCTGGGGGCCTTCGGTGGTGCTGGCTTCAAACACGCCTCGCGCCCTTGCCGGCGGACAGCGGTCTCGCCAGCTCTGCGTGAACACGGCCAGCGAGGCGTGCACGCTCTGAGCGCTGTCTGTCTGCTGAGCCGAGGCTCCTGTGCCATGGGGCGGGGCGGGGCGGGGCGAGGCTCCTGTGCCGCGGGGCGGGGCGGGGCGGGGCGAGGCTCCTGTGCCGTGGGGCGGGGCGGGGCGGGGCGGGGCTCCTGTGCCGTGGGGCGGGGCGGGGCGGGGCGGGGCGAGGCTCCTGTGCCGTGGGCGGGCGGGGGCGAGGCTCCTGTGCCGTGGGCGGGGCGGGGCTCCTGTGCCGTGGGGCGGGGTGGGGCGGGCTCCTGTGCCGTGGGGGCGGGGCGGGGTGGGGCGAGGCTCCTGTGCCGTGGGGCGGGGCGGGGTGGGCGGGGCTCCTGGCCATGGGGCGGGGCGAGGCGGGGCTCCTGTGCCGTGGGGCGGGGCGAGGGCGGGGCTCCTGTGCCGTGGGGCGGGCGGGGCGAGGCTCCTGTGCTGTGGGGCGAGGCGGGGCTCCTGTGCCGTGGGGCGGGGCGGGGCTCCTGTGCCGTGGGGCGGGGCGGGGCGGGGCAAGGCGGGGCTCCTGTGCCGTGGGGCGGGCGGGGCGGGGCTCCTGTGCCCTGGGGCGGGGCGGGGCGGGGCGGGGCGTTGGCCCTGGGCTGGCCTCACGGCCGTGGCCGACCCACTGCCGTCTGTCGCTTGCTGCAGTCGCCATCAACCTGATTGTGCAGCACATCCAGGACATTCTGAACGGTGACATCTGCAAGTGGCACCGAGGGGCCAATGGGAGGAGCTACAAGAGGACCTTTCCTGAGCCGGGAGACCACCCTGGGGTGCTGACCTCGGGCAAGCGCTCGCACCTGGAGTCCAGCAGCAGGCCCCACTGAGGGCTGGGGCGGACGCGTGCGGTCGGGGGGCCGGGCCTGGCACGCGCCTGCCCGCAGAGCGCAGCCACCGCCTCCTGTCCACGTGTTCCGGGGCGGTGCTGGACCAAGGCCCTCCTCTGGTGAGCGGCGGCCGGCCGTGTCACTCGCACTCGGGGCCGGCGGCTGGGCGTTCCTGAGGTTTTCACCTGCGTCACGTCTGCAGGTCTGAAATCTCGGTCACGGTCACTGAGAACGCCACAGGGCTGTGCTTGCCCGCGGGCTGCCCTGAGGGGCTTCCGGAACCATCCGTCCCACACACAAACCCCGACGCCGGCATCTGCACGAGAACGCCGTCGGTTACGTGTTACACGGCTCCGTGCTTTGTTCCGTCTGCGGCGCGGGGCTGGCCGGGCCCTGTGAGCCGGCCTGGTGCCCCGAGGGCGCCCCACCTGCCTCGCCTGGGCGTCAGAGGCAGGGCCCTGGGGGCAGGCAGCTCCTGACCAGCATCCAGGTCACAAGGCCGGCTGTGCCGTGGCCAGGCCCAGGAGCCTGCGTGGAGCGGCCAGGCCTCGGCGTCTTCTGAGCCCGAGGCGCTGTCTGGACAGGCCGTTCCCTGCAGAGCCGGGCCCAGCCAGGCGTACTGACCACAGGGGTTCAAGGCCAAAGCCAGCCGGTCTCCCCCACGCCATCCCGAGCTCACAGCCCACAAAGGACCCTGTGTGTGGCGCCGTGCTGGCCTCTCGCGGTGCCGCAGGCGTGGCACCTGACACGGTTTTGCTCCGTGGCTGGTTTCTGACACTGTAACAGTTTGGTTAAGTTCATGCCCTTTTGGAGGGAGAATCAATAAATTTAATAACACCAATACGAATGGCAATTTGTCCTTTTTATTTATATAAAAATTGGCAAATTTGGGGCAAAGAAATGTACGGTGACCAAGCTTGACCACTGAAGATGGAGACGCCACCTGGGAGGATGCAGCCACGCGGGGCCAAGGGCGCTCCGTGCGCCTCACGGCAGGGCTAGGAGTGCTGGGTCCCGCGGGTTCACGAGGCGGCTCCGGCCGACCGGGTCCCCTCCTTCCTGCTGCCTGGGGCGGTCCTTGGCCGCCAGCGTCAGAGGCTGTGGCGGGCCCGGTTCTTCATGGAGTGAACTTGGCTGAGGGTGCCCTGCCGACTGCAGGAGGAAGCAGGGCCGCGCAGGCTGCCAGCCCGGGCGGGCCGAGCGCTCTCCGCTCCAGGTGAGCCCATCCTTGCTCCTCCCCACCCAGCACACCGGCTCTTTGCCACCGCCTCGCTTTGCTAGTGTTTCCGGATCAGGATGTCCCAGCTGTCTTTCCAGCGAAGGGCCTGGAGTTCACCTGGGGAGAGCGACCGGTCTCCATAGGTCAGTGGGCGCAGTGTGCTGGACACGTGGCATGCGGACGAAAACCAGGCCACGACCAGGGCGCTGAACAGGCTCCTGTGCAGCGGGGACCTGCGGGTGTCAGGACAGAGGCGGCACACGGCGGGCTCGGCTCGGCCCTGCCAGGCAGGCCTGGCCCTGCCGCCCACGTGGCCGCCCACCACGGCCAGTGTGTTTATTGTGTGTTTATTTTTTGACAGGCAGAGTTAGTGAGAGAGTGAGTGAGAGTGAGAGAGAGAGAGAGAGAGAGAGAGAGAGGTCTTCCTTTTCCATTGGTTCACCCCCTAAATGGCCGCTACAGCCGGAGCTGCGCTGGTCTGAAGCCAGGAGCCAGGTACTTCTCCCGGTCTCCCATGGGGTGCAGGGCCCAAGCACTTGGGCCATCCTCCACTGCACTCCCAGGCCACAGCAGAGAGCTGGACTGGAAGAGGGGCAACCGGGACAGAATCCGGCGCCCCGACCAGGACTAGAACCCGGTGTGCCGGCGCCGCAGGCGGAGGATTAGCCTAGTGAGCCGCAGCGCCGGCCAGTGTGCTCTACAGCAGGTGTTGAGGCCCCTTGTTTATCTACATGTTTTCTGCCACCCAATCACATCCTGCCTGGGAGCCCTGGGCACGGCCCTCCGTGCTCCTGCTGTCACCAGGGCTTCCAGTCCATCCATCGGCACGGGCCTGAGCCCAGCCACGTCACATCCGGTTCCCCTGCCGCACCCGCCCGGGGGGTCCTCTGGGCCAGCGCCCACCCACTGTGGCCCTGCAGTGCCTCGTGGGTACGCCTTGTGTGCATCGCGGTACCCACGGCACCTGTGGCCCTGCCCAGTGCCCTACCTGCACAGGTGGTCCCGCACGTGCTGCAGGACCACCGGGGTCAGGAGGAGCTGGAAGCTGAGCGCGGGCAGGTAGTGGTAGAGGAAGAGCGTCTTCTCGGTCAGGAAGAAGGGCAGGTAGTTGACGGCCCAGCCCCCGACGCACAGAGCCCCGGCCAGCAGCCAGCGCAGCCACACGTCTGCGAGAGAGGACGCGGCTCGGAGAGCGCCCCCGTGGGCCTCCCAGGCCTTCCCTCACAAGAACTCGCCAGCCCTGCTGGGGACCACGGGCTCCCTGCGATCTGGCCTTGGCCACCTGCTCTCAGTGGGGTCTGAGCTCCTCTGGGAGCCGTGGGGGCACTCGCAGGGCAGGGCAGGGCGGCCATTCAGCTCCCCAGCCGCCCCGGGACACCGGCCCCACCCGCCGGCCTGGGGCGCTTCCCGTTCTGTTTCCCTGGGGCTTGCAGTGGCTCTCTCAGCTGCACACAACCCGCCCCCGCCAAGCAGGGGGGACCAGGGAGGGTGCCCGTCGGGAGGAGGAAGCGTGCAGACGAGCCGCGGAGGGGGGGGGGGCGCTGACCCTCGGGGAGGTCGCGGATGTTCCGCCGCCGCCGCAGCAGGTACCAGAGGAAGAGCAGGGCGTAGAGCAGGGTGGCGAGCCCGGCCGACGTCCAGACCACGACGTTCCCCAGCAGGTGGATCTGGGCCTGCAGGCGTGACGCAGGGACACGGCTGCCAGCCCGGACACGCCCGCTGGGACGGGAGACGGGAGCAGGCAGCAGCCTTTCTGAGGGGCAGTGCTGCCCAGAGAGGGGAAGGGGCTGGGGTGGACGGGGCCTGCCCTCCCGGGCCTCGTCCTGTGGCTCGCTCAGTGACTTCCCCACCGGCCGCGGACAGGCGCACCGTGCGCGGCCTTCTGTTCTCCAAGGGGAAGCATCGGTCATGGAAAACCTCCGTGTGGACTTCCAACATTGCTGGTACTGAAGTAAGTTTCTCTGAATTCCGCTTGCCAGTAACTTTCTGAAGCGCCCCTCCACATAAACAAAGCCCTGGCACGCTCAGCCACGAGGTGCCAAACGCAGAGCAGGGGGCCAGGCCCTACACGCTCCCCCGCAACACCAGGCCGGCCGGCGCGCTGGGCCTCCGGCCTCGGCACCCGCGGGGGCACTGGCAGGGGCTCGGCCCTCGCCACCTCGTCACACAGGCCCCGGAGACGCTCCGCGCGGTTCCCGGGGGCCCACGGCTGGACGGCCACTTACGCTGGTGCGGGGGTGCAGCCAGTAGGCGATGTTGGTGTCCAGGGTGACCCAGTCCAGGGGGGAGGAGCTGTACTTGTGTTCCGAGTCGTCACTTCTCAGCGTCAGCATCCTCCACTGCAACAAAGCCCAGAGCTGGAGACCCGACGGGACCGGCGGGGACCGGCGGGGACAGGCGGGGACAGGCGGGGACTGGACGGGGACAGGCGGGGACAGGCGGAGACCGGCGGGGACAGGTGGGCACAGGCAGGGACAGGCGGGGACCGGACGGGGACAGGCGGGGGCAGGGACAGGCGGGGACAGGCGGGAACAGGTGGGGACCGGCGGGGACCGGACGGGGACTGAAGGGCACAGGCGGGGACCAGAGGGCACAGGCGGGGACAGGCGGGGACAGGAGGGCACAGGCGGGGACCGGACAGGGACAGGTGGGCACAGGTAGGGACAGGTGCGCACAGGCGGGGACCAGCGGGGACAGGAGGGGACAGGCGGGGACCAGACGGGGACAGGCAGGGACAGGCAGGGACAGGCGGGCACAGGCAGGGACAGGCGGGGACAGGAGGGCACAGGCGGGGACCGGAGGGCACAGGCGGGGGACAGGCGGGGACAGGAGGGCACAGGCGGGGACCAGCGGGGACAGGTGGGCACAGGTAGGGACAGGTGGGCACAGGCGGGGACCAGCAGGGACAGGTGGGGACCGGTGGGCACAGGCGGGGACAGGCAGGGACAGGTGGGGACCGGCGGGGACAGGCGGCCGCCCCCAGGGCAGTGTCAGGCCAGAACCAGCACTGCGCAGCGGGAGCCCCCAACCCTAACCCTGGCTGCAGCTGGGGGGCCCAGGCCTCGGCCACCCCTGCAGGACGAAAGACGGGACTCAGGGCTGCCCACGTGCCCCAGCCACAACAGGGTCACGCCATCACCCAGGTGTCCTGTCTGCATGCCCGAAGCCAACAGCGCTGTCTGTGTCACTCTTGCGGGCCTCTGAGGTTCCGGGTTCCAGACTGCCAAGGTCAGGGCCCCGCAGACCGCAGCGCTGCCCCGGGCAGGAGCCGGCCCCGCCCCCAGCGCCAGGCCTCCCCGGCCGCACCTCACCTGCAGCTCCGAGAATCTGGCCATGAAGCTGAGGTTCCGGCTGATGTCGACCTGAGTCGGGGAGTGCAGCTCCACCTCCCTCTCCCTCTGCTCCTGGCCTGAGGAAAGAGGCGGACAGGCCCCACTCAGCCGGCCGGCCCACGGGGGAGCGGGGGAGCGGGCTGCTGGGCGGAGCCGGGGCCAGCCGGGGGCGGGACTCACTCCGGCCATAGCGGTGCTCCTCCACGTTCCACACCGTGCTCTCGCCCCGGGACACTCTCTCCCCGACCACCTCCAGCTGCCGGAACCCCCAGTCCGGGAGGTGCGCCCCGCTCAGCTGGCGACAACAGGGACAGACAAGGGCTCCGCTCAGCCTGAGCTCAGCTGCCGGTCCCTGTGGCCAGCAGCTGTGCCCCTGCGTGCACCTCCCACTTCCTCCCACGTGAAATGGACAGGGCGTGACCTGGCCACAGCTCCCACCCAGCAAGAGCTGCGGCTGCCTTGAGCTCTGTGAACGGACTCCAAGCCTGCGGCTGCCCAGGCCACGCCCGCAGCAGGGGCAGGCGTTGTGCACGGCGGTTAAGCCGCTGGCTGGGACGCCTGCACACCCATCGGAGAGCCTGGATTCAGCTCCTGACTCCGCTCCCTGTTATCGCAGACCCTGGCAGGCGGCAGGTAACCGGCTGGGACCGGCCCCTCCCCGGGCTGATCTCGCTCCTGGCTTCGGTTGGCGTCAACCCAGGCGTGGCGGGAGTCAAGGGCACAGCAGGGGCGGCCGCGTTCACCTTTAAGACGGCAGACGTGTTCAGGTGCACGAAGCGGACCTCCGACAAGATGGTCTTCCAGATCTCCATGTCAGAGTTCCTGTTCACGATGTCCTGCGGAGCAGAGCGAGTCGGGCACCCCCTCCTCCCCCGATTTCCTTAACGACAGAAATGAAGACCCGAGCCGGGGACCAGCCCCCAGACGGGAGGGAAGCCGAGGGGTCGACCCTGGACGGGGCTGGGGTCCTAGGGGCGTTCTTCCTGACCCCACGACACTGCGTGTCCCCCAGGGACCCGTGGAGAAGGGGTGTGGTCCTCCCAAAGGCTGCACACGGCTGCTTCCCAGAGCCTCCAGGCCTGATGTGCGTGGGCCTCTCTGCGGCTCAGCACAAGGCTGTGGGCCCAGAGGCGCGGGCCCTGCAGCCGTGAGGAGCCCGCTTCCCAGCCGCGCAGAGCAGTGAGCGCCGGCCCAGCCGCAGGAACACTGCAGCCCGACGGGCCGGTCTCTCCCCGGGGAGACCCTGACAAGGGCACTTGCTGACCCCCGGGGCTGGGGGTGTGCAGCACCTGCTCTCCGGGGTGAATGGTGAGAAGACGGGGCACCCTGGCCTGGCAGGGCCACACCGAGCGAGCACAAGCCAGCTACAACCTCTGAGCAGGCGCAGGCCCTCCGCCCAGGGGCTGCGAGGCCAGGCAGGACGCCAGCCTGCCTCTGGCCCTGACCCCAGCTTCCTACTCCAGAGCCCCTGGAAGGCAGCAGCTGATGCCTCCAGTGGCCGGGTCCCCGGCACCACGTGAGTTCCCAACTCCCGGCCTGGCCCGGCCCAGCCCTGCCGCTGCGGGCATCTGGGGAGTGAGCCAGCGCACGGGGGCTCGCTCTCTCCATCTCTGAGCTGAGTGATGAAAGGAGAAGAGCTTGGGCTGAGCCCTTCCTCCGACCAGGAAGCCACTCGGAGGAAGGGGCTGCCCCCCCGTGGAGACGTGGGCGGTGTGCTGGCCCCGCCCCGGCCTCAGCGTTCCCCGCAGCACGCACCAGCCTCCAGAGGTTCTGGGAGGGCATGGAGATGTTGTAGTCGATGTAGCAGGACACCTCCTGGGCGTGGGGGCTCAGCGGGGCCGCCACGTCGTGCCTGGAAAACAACGCAGACGCCGCACGCTCGCGTGGATCCCCAGCTCTGCCTCGCGAGCCGCTCCTCCAGGGCCGGGCCACGAGTCCATGCTGCAGGGGGCTCTCGGGAAGCAGCCGCCGGCCCCCGGCTGGGGTGTGCCACGCGGCATGGCTGTGGCACTGGCCGGCGCCCAGCAACAGACACTGGGAGACAAGGCTGTCCTGAGACCCAGTGCGCACCTCCTCCGATCCCTCACTCAGCCACGGCTCACCACGCTCGGCGCCAGAGAGCAAGCCGGGCGCGCCACGGGGAGACAGAAAGGACGCGTTTCTCAGGGAGGCAACGTCTCAGCCGCCCCTGGGGGACCTGCGACTCTGGCAGGGGAGCAGTGCAGAGGGCCTGAGGGGCCACACTTGGTCATCTGGGGCCAACATGGCGGCCAGGCCAGGGTGACGGGGTGGCACACAGCAGGGTCACAGAGGGCTCGGGCGAGGAGCGGGTCCCTCAGGCTGAATGGGCTGTCGTATCTGTCGGGGGCGAGGTGGGGGCAGGAGGCGGCCTCTCTGGGGTCACTTCTGAAGGTGGACACGGCAGATGACAGGAAGGGAGGGAATACAGCCACGGGCACGCCGGGGACCGGGCTCTGCCAGCGAGAGCCGGGCCAGTGCAGCTGCCTGTGGAGACGGCGGAGCTATGCGCAGCTGTGGGTGCGCACGGGGAAGCTGGAGCTGAGCCAGGAACCCGGAGCCACCAGGGCTCTCCCGGTGAGCGCCCCTGGGAAGCTGGGTGGAGGTGGGCGGGGCTTCCCAGCAGCAGCAGTCGGCAGCCGGGGAGAGGTGAGCGCAGGAGAAAGGGCCTCGAGGCGGGCCCGAGACGCCTTCGTGGCTGTTCAGCCGCAACCTTAAACCCTTCTCGGAGAGTGGCCGTGTGGCCTGGCGGCCCGGACGCTGCTCGGGACACGCACGGCCCACGTCCGCGGGCTGGGATTTGGGTCCCGCTCGGCCGGATGTGGCGCTGCCTCTGCCCCCGCCCCCTCCCCACAGCCGGCCGTGCGGCACTCACGTGTTAAGGAAGCGGGTGGTCATGCCGTGGACCAGCTGCACGAGGTCTCCGTGGCGCACGGGTCTCGGGGGGCTGCTCACCACCAGCTGGTGCCTGGGAAGACGTGGCTCCGTCAGGGTGGCGCCGAGCTCAGCGCCCTCCGCGGCAGCTCCAGGAGTTCGGAGACACACAGCCCTCAGCCTCCCGCTGCCACGCAGCTCGGGAGAGGCCGTGGAGCACGCCCGGCGCACACATCCTGCTGGACGCCCCGAGACCCGGGCCACTTTCCAGACTCCCAGGGATTCCAAGGGGCCTCTGTCCACCAGGGCTGCTCCCTGTCCGCGTACGAGCGCTACAGAGGTGCGCACACTGTGACTGCGGCCAAGGCGTCCTGCAGCCAGAGCGGTGCGTCACTCACGACAGCACCCATTCTGCAGAACTGCACCGAGCACCCGTCACGGCCCAGGGCTGAGCGCACGCTGAGCCAGCCGGGCACCGTCCACGCGGTGAGTGGGAAGCAGACAGTGAGCAAGGGACCCGCGCAAATCAGCCACCGTGCAGCTACGGGTGGGGAGGGCGGTGCCGCGGAGAGGCTGGTGGGGGAAGCCCCAGGGGAGCTGTCACCCTTCTGAGAAGGGGCCGCTGGACAGCACAGGTGCCCGCCCTGATCTGCAGGTGCCGAGGGGCAGGTGCCCACTGGGCAGGCGCTCGAGTCTGGGGCCAGGGGATGCTCGGGGAGGGGTGAGACAAGAGAGTCCGCGGGGGCTGTAGATGCCGAAGGCAGGAGTGGGCGTGGTCGCCAGGCGGCAGGGAGGCCCCCACTGAGGCCTGGGCAGGGGTGCAGGGAGGGGCAGGAAGAAGCAAGTCTGGAGGGTGGCTGTGAGCCAAGGGGAGGCCAAGGGACCGGGCCCTCACCGGCCAAGAGCAGATCTTCCAGGCCGGGGGCCGAATGCGCCCAGGGAGGGAGAAGGGGGCGGCGCAGAGCGGCCAGGCTGGGCCCAGACCCGCGCTCACCTCCCGGGGTCCTTCACGATCCACCAGTTGTTGACGTCTTTGAAGGGGTAGCAGGTCACCTGCTGCTGGTGGGAGCTGCCTCGGCCGTTCTCGTAGCTGCGTGCAGAAGCCGGGGACGGTGTCTGCAAGGGGCCGGGGCCCGGCGCGGTACGCGGAGCAGGGGCAGAGCCCACGGGGCCACACTTGGAAATCTCCACCGCACGGGGGACCAGAGCCGGGGCCCAGTGTCCTGTGCTCTCACAACTCCCCCACAGAAAGGGAAAGCCACGGCCGGGCCGGCCCACTGCTTACATCATGGGGTAGGTGTTCTGGTGAGAGTGAAGCCAGCAGGGCAAGGGTTTGCCGGAGACGCTCCTCAGGGTGACCTGGGACCCGAAGGCCACCTCCAGCGGCTGGCCCTGGGTGATGCGCGCAAGTCCTCCCTGGACAGAGAGAGAGGCGGGCAGGTGAGAGGGAGGGACCCGCGGGCCCGAGCCCGGGAGCCGCAGCTGTCACTAATACGTAGCTGCAGTGACCTGTCCACCGTGTGGTCGTGTCCCACGACAGCACAGGACAATGATCAGAGCTCCTTCTGAGGCCGGGCACCCGCCCATCCCAAGAACTTACAAACATCCAGTGTGACAGGGGCAACTGCCGTGTCTGCGCGAGTGAGGAAACCAGGAGAGCTGGGGCACCGCACGGCAGAGGGCCTGGTTCAAGTCCTCGGTACCCCACCTTGGGGCACCGCACGGCAGAGGGCCTGGTTCAAGTCCTCGGTACCCCACCTTGGGGCACCGCACGGCAGAGGGCCTGGTTCAAGTCCTAGGTGCCCCACCTTGGGGCACCGCACGGCAGAGGGCCTGGTTCAAGTCCTAGGTACCCCACGTCTCCTGTCTGGCTTCCTGATAATGCTCCTGGGACAGCACAAGTCCTTGTGTTCCTGTCTCACACACACGAGACCTGGATGGAGGCCATGGCCCCTGGCCCCTGGCTCCTGGCTCCAGCCTGGCCCAGCCTTGGCTGCTGTGTGCACTCGGGGAGTGAGTCAGTGAGTGGAAGATCTCTCTTGTTTCTCCCTCTCTCTTTCTCTCTGTTGTGCTGCCTTTCAAATAAATACATTTGAGAGAGGGGGAGGGAGGGGGGGGGGAGAGGTAGATGAGGAAAGCAAGTCTTGGTAAAGTTGAGTCTGCCCCTGACATGGAGTGGCCATCGGCAGGCCTGCGCTGGGGGCTCCCTTGGGACACGAGTTCCAGATTTTTGATTTGTTCAGATCTGGGAAGTGTGCACAGACTAAACTGCCACAAAACTCAAAACTGAACCACATCAGCCCCCCCAGAAGTGTTTTATTTGGGAGCATTGTGGATTTCAGGTTTCAGATCGGAGGAGCTCAACCTGGCTGCGTTTGCGAAAGTGAATACCAGTGAGTGAGCATCAGGGTGGGCGTGAGCGAGCGTCAGGGTGGGCGTGAGCGTCAGGGTGAGTGTGAGTGAGCGTCAGGGTGAGCGTCAGGGTGACTGTGAGTGTGGGTGTGAGCGTCAGGGTGGGCGTGAGCGAGCGTCAGGGTGGGCGTGAGCCTCAGGGTGGGCGTGAGTGAGCGTCAGGGTGAGCGTCAGGGTGGGCGTGAGTGAGCGTCAGGGTGAGCATCAGGGTGGGCGTGAGTGAGCATCAGGGTGGGCGTGAGTGAGCGTCAGGGTGAGCGTCAGGGTGGGCGTGAGTGAGCATCAGGGTGGGCGTGAGTGAGCGTCAGGGTGAGCGTCAGGGTGGGCGTGAGCGAGCATCAGGGTGGGCGTGAGTGAGCGTCAGGGTGAGCATCAGGGTGAGTGTGAGTGAGCGTCAGGGTGGGCGTGAGTGAGCGTCAGGGTGAGCGTCAGGGTGGGCGTGAGTGAGCGTCAGGGTGAGCGTCAGGGTGGGCGTGAGTGAGCGTCAGGGTGAGCGTCAGGGTGGGCGTGAGTGAGCGTCAGGGTGAGTGTGAGTGAGCGTCAGGGTGGGCATGAGCGAGCATCAGGGTGAGCGTGAGCGAGCGTCAGGGTGGGCGTGAGTGAGCCTCAGGGTGGATGTGAGTGAGTGTCAGGGCTGGGTGAGCATCAGGGTGGGTGTGAGTGTCAGGGTGGGCGTGAGTGAGCGTCAGGGTGAGTGTGAGTGAGCGTCAGGGTGGGCGTGTCAGAGTGAGTGTGAGCGTCAGGGTGAGCGTGAGTGTCAGGGTGAGTGTGAGTGAGCATCAGGGTGGGCGTGAGTGAGCATCAGGGTGAGTGTGAGCGTCAGGGTGAGTGTGAGCGTGAGTGAGCGTCAGGGTGAGCGTGAGCGTCAGGGTGAGTGTGTCAGGTGAGCGTCAGTGAGCGTCAGGGTGTGAGTGAGCGTCAGGGTGAATGTGAGTGAGCGTCAGGGTCTGAGTGAGCGTCAGGGTGGGCGTGAGTGAGCGTCAGGGTTAGTGTGAGCGTCAGGGTGAGTGTGTCAGGTGAGCGTCAGTGAGCGTCAGGGTGTGAGCGAGCGTCAGGGTGGGCGTGAGTGAGCGTCAGGGTGTGAGCGTGCGTCAGGGTGGGCGTGAGTGAGCGTCAGGGTTAGTGTGAGCGTCAGGGTGAGTGTGAGTGAGCGTCAGGGTGAGTGTGAGTGAGCGTCAGGGTGAGCGTGAGTGTCAGGGTTAGTGTGAGCGTCAGGGTGGGCGTGAGTGAGCGTCAGGGTGAGCGTGAATGAGCGTCAGGGTGAGCGTGAGCGTCAGGGTGAGTGTGTCAGGTGAGCGTCAGGGTGTGAGTGAGCATCAGGGTGAATGTGAGTGAGCGTCAGGGTGTGAGCGTGAGCGTCAGGGTGAGCGTGAGCGTCAGGGTGAGTGTGAGCGTGAGTGAGCATCAGGGTGAACGTGAGCGTCAGGGTGAGTGTGTCAGGTGAGCATCAGTGAGCGTCAGGGTGTGAGTGAGCGTCAGGGTGTGAGTGAGCGTCAGGGTCTGAGTGAGCGTCAGGGTGGGCGTGAGTGAGCGTCAGGGTGGGCGTGAGTGAGCGTCAGGGTTAGTGTGAGCGTCAGGGTGGGCGTGAGTGAGCGTCAGGGTGAGCGTGAGTGAGCGTCAGGGTGAGCGTGAGCGTCAGGGTGAGTGTGTCAGGTGAGCGTCAGTGAGCGTCAGGGTGTGAGTGAACGTCAGGGTGAATGTGAGTGAGCGTCAGGGTGTGAGTGACCGTCAGGGTGAGTGTGAGTGAGCGTCAGGGTGAGTGTGAGCGTGAGCGTCAGGGTGAGTGGGGGTGAGCATCAGGTGAGTGTGAGCATGAGCGTCAGGGTGAGTGTGAGCGTGAGTGAGCGTCAGGGTGGGCGTGAGTGAGCATCAGGGTGAATGTGAGTGAGCATCAGGGTGAGCGTGAGCGTGAGTGAGCGTCAGGGTGAGTGGGGGTGAGCGTCAGGGTGGGCGTCTCCCGTGAGGCCCCTGAATCCGTCCCGAGTCTGCAGGACTGTTCTTCCCAGTGCTCTCGTGTGTGCGAGCCCAGCCCTCGCTCGTTTGCCTGTGGTCAGCGCCCGAGGAGCAGCTCAGAGACATGTGGCTCCCTGCGCCTCGACGTGGCGCCTGCTCCGGCGGCTCCATGGTGCTGGGTCTCACCTCCAAGCTGGCCTGGAAGGCACTGGACATGATCTGGTCGTGGGGCCCGGAGCGGTAGAGCAGCAGCAAGTGGACGTAGAAGAACAGCAAGTACAGGACCACCGGGAGGACCAGCAAGGCCACGGCGCGGGCGAGCAGGTGACAGAACACACAGACCTGCCGGGAGAGCGCGGGGGTCCCTCCTCCTCCGGGAAAGGGTCCCCACTTCCCGACGTTGCAGCTTAGAAAACGTTAGGGACAGAAACGCCAGGAGGTGCCCTCTGACCCCCACAGGCCGGCCCGGCGCGGCGCTGACGTCAACACGCACATGGGACAGAGCCTTGTCGCCAATCAGCTGCCAGGCGTGCACGGCTGCGACGGCCAGCACCAGCAGGTACGTGAAAACACCCATGTACTTGACGCTGCAAGAGCCGCAGAGGTGAGGTTCAGAGGGGACGCGAAAACCCTGGCAGGCAGGAACCGCCCCAGACACGGGCTCCGACTCACCCCACGGCACACGAACACGCCACGCCAGTCAGTGTCAGCCAAAACCACCACGCCGGAGAGAACGGGCTGCAAGGGAAGCAGGGGACGAAGCAGACGACGCTGGGAGCGGTGGCGGCACCGTCCCCGAGGAAGGTCCCCTGGCTGGCTGACCCCACTGTCGCCAGGGACACCCTACTTGTCTAGGAGACTTCTCCAGTGGTGCTCGCCACAGGATGAGGATGCGTTCATGGCGCCAGCCCCCCAGCTACTAGGTGACTCCCGGCTGACCCCCAGCTCGGCAAACCGCCCACAATCTCTCCCTCCTTTACTGGGACGGAGCCTCCCGCCCTCCCCGTACCTGTGTTTCTGGGAGTTGGAGAACTTCAGGTAGGACAACACGGCCAACAGGTTAAAAAATATTAAAAGCGATTCCAAAAGCATGAGCCGGGACTGGGTGATCAGGGCGTTCTCTGGCACAGAGACAGCACGCGAGTGTCAGCTTCACGAAGCAAGACAGGTGCACAAAGATGGGGAAACACTCCCAAAATGGCCAGAGACACCCCCGGGGGCCCCAGAGGGATGGGGTCCAGGAACCCCACAGACACCAAAATCTGCAGACGTGAAGCCCTTGTATGAACTGGCGTGGGACATGCGTGTGAGCTGCACGCATCTTGGGAAGACACACGGCGCAGACGCTGCATGAGGTGTCCGCCCACGCTCACTGCGGACGCAGTGCTTGTCATTTTTTCAGATATTTTCGACCACGTGGGTGAGCTTGCGGCTGCAGGACCCATGGATACCGAGGGCCAAGAGCGCTGGGCGTGAAGGCGGGGCGGTCAGAAGTGGGGTGGCTGCAGGGCGCGGGCTCCAGGCCTGCCAGGGCAGCGACGCTTGGTGCAAACCGCGCCTAAGTGACAGCGACCGCGAACACGGGCGGGTCCCCTCCCTTTCTGAGCGTTCAAGGGCTCTGCAGGGCTGCTGCCGGTTCCAACACGTGACACAGGCACGGGGCCGTGTGGAACTGTCACTCAACAAGCAACACCACGTCTGACTCTGCCTCTGTCGTCCGTCCATCACCCTAAGCGGGAGGATGCTTCCTGAAGAGCGCCCAGGGGGCCCGGGGCAGGAGGGGAGGGGAAGTCAGTGGGCAGCAGGCTTGGCTGGGGATGGAGGTGCAGCCCCCCACCCCGTCTGCCACGGCCACAGCGCCACCGCTGCCAGTCAGACCACACAGTTAGCAACCCTAGGCCAAGGGGCTGGTGCGGACCCACAGTCAAGTCGGGGCGGACCAGACGCACCTCCTGCTCAGGCCCCCGACCCCGTCAGCTCACGGGGCCTCCCACGGCAGCGGTGCAGAGCCCGGGCGGGGTTCTCCTCTGCACAGCACCCAGCGCCCGCGGGAGCCCAGGTCTCACCGATGAGCATCAGCAGAGCGGCTCCCATGGCGGCGCAGTGCGAGAAGTGGAGCTCGGCCACGATCTGGTAGGCCAGGGGGACCGACAGGGCCCCGGCGAGTGCGGGCAGCAGGCGCAAGGACCACACGGGCACGTTGGGGCTGTATTCTGCAGAGGCAGCCACAGGGCAGAGCTGAGGGCGCCGCACACGCGCCGTCTCCCAGCCCACGGCTCATGGGCTCTGCAGGGCGAGTCCCAGAGCTGGGGCTGCCCCAGCAACCGGGGGTGGGGGGGCTCAAGATGGCACTGAGCTTCCCACGGCCAAGGAGCCCGCTCTCCCGAGCACAGGAATGAGATGCAGGATTCTGATTCAAAACTAATGTCGTGCCGGCGTCGTGGCTCACTCGGCTAATCCTCTGCCTTTGGCGCTGGCATCCCATGTGGGTGCCGGGTTCTAGTCCTGGTTGCCCCTCTTCCAGGCCAGCTCTCTGCTGTGGCCCGGGAGTGCAGTGCAGGATGGCCCAAGTGCTTGGGCCCTGCACCCCATGGGAGACCAGGAGGAAGCACCTGGCTCCTGGCTTCAGATTGGTGCAGCGCGCTGGCCGTAGTGGCCATTTGGGGGGGTGAGCCAACAGAAAAGGAAGACCTTTCTCTCTGTCTCTCTCTCTCTCACTATCTAACTCTGCCTGTCAAATTAAAAAGAAAAAAGAAACTAATGTTAGACTTACTTAAGAATTTATCCCACCTGCTTCCAAGAACATTAAAGCAAAACACAAAATCTGCCCGTATAAGAGATACCTGGCGGGGCTGGCACAGTGGTGCAGTGGGTTAATCCTCTGTCTGCAGTGCCAGCACCCCATATGGGCGCTGGTTCTAGTCCTGGCTGCTCCTCTTCCGATCCAGCTCCCTGCATATGGCCTGGGAGAGCAGTGGAAGATGGCCCAAGTGCTTGGGCATCTGTACCTGCGTGGGAGACCAGGAAGAAGCTCCTGGCTCCTGGCTTTGTGTCGGCTCAGCTCTGGCAATTGTGGCCATTTGGGGAGTGCACCAGTGGATGGAAGGCCTTTCTTTCTGTCTCTGCCTCTCACTGTCTGTAACTCTCTCAAATAAATAAACAAATCTTAAAAAAAAAAAAAAAAAAGAGATAACTGGGGCTGGCATTGTGGCTCAGCGGGTTAAGCCACCACCTGTAATGCCAGTGTCCCATATGGGCGCCAGTTCGAGTCCCGTCTGCTCCTTGCTAAGTGCCTGGGAAAGAACAGGAAGCTGGCCCACGTACTTGGGCCTCTGCACCACCTGGGGGACCCAGATGGAGTGCTAGGCTCCTGCCTTTGGCCTGGCACAGCAGTGGCGTTGCAGCCTTTTGGGGAGTGAACCAACGAATGGAAGATCTCTCTCTCGGTCTCTTCCTCTCTCTGTAACTGACTTTCAAATAACTAGATATTAAAAAAAAAAAAAAAAAAAAAAAGGATATCCATGATCAGATGCCACACGATCCAGGCACGAAAGTGGGGTGAATAATCACCCACCCGGATTCCAGGGCTGTGGCCAGAACTTTCCCCGGCTGACCCCCGCCACCCTGGACTGACAGTGGGCTGCACGCAGCCCTCGCTCTCTGTTCTAACACTCGCACTTGAAGAGGGAAATGAAAATGACCGGTTACCTGCGCCAATTCTGTTCCACATAAAGTTTCCATCAAATCCTCCCATGTAACCTGGGAGGGAAGAGGGACCCGTCACTCCCTGCAGCGCCACGCAGGCAACGAGGCGCCGGGACATAGCCGCGGATTCCGCCGCCGCTGCCTTCCTCCCGGCAAGCGCTGAGTGTGCCCAGGCCCTGCTGGGCGGCGGCCGCCTACCTCCCAGCGCCAGCAGCATATGGCCAAACGGTGGTCCGCTGTCATCCAGGAAGAAGACGCGTTTCATGTAGAAAGAGATGTACTGCCCGTAATACACTTCGTCAAAACTGCAGGACAGACAGAAACACACACACGCTGCACCCAGCACGGAGGCGCCAGCGTGAACACGGGCTGAGCCGTGCGCCTGCAGTGTCGTCCACCCACAGGTACAGCCTGGCGCCCGGCACTCACTCGCTGGACCACACAGATTCTCTCTCTCTCGGGTCCTCCATCCAGGAGTGCCCGGCCAGCCAACCGACTGAAAGACCCCCCGGGCCCCGCGGGGGCCCCGGCCGGAGATCGAGGTTCTGAGTGGAGTCAGGCTGGTGGCCGGGTCAGAGCTGCAGTACATGAGGAAGACACACAGGGACCATCGCAGCGAGAGGACGAGACAGCCGTGCAAATCTGCTGACCCCAGGGAACCATGACACTACTGTGTGCACACCCGTTTTGCTTCTAAGAATACTCTTTAAAAAAATATTTATTAATTTGAAAGGCACAGCTACGGAGAGAGGGAGAGAGAGAGAGAGAGAGAGAGATCTTCTATCTGCTAGTTCACTCCCTAAATGGCCACAGCGGCCTGGGCTGGGCCCAGCCGAAGCCACGAGGCAGGAACTTTCCCCAAGTCTCCCGTGCACTGGGGCCATCTTCTGCTGCTTTCCCAGGGGCATTAGCAGGGAGTGAGAGGGAAGTGTGACCACTGGGGCTCCACCAGGTGCTCGGGGGGGATGCTGGCTGCCCACACGGCGGCTCAGCCTGCTGCGCTGCAAAGCTGGCCTCAGGGGTCATCGTCTTCAAGGGCGGTGTGTGGCCCCGTGTGAACACGCCCGCAGCCAGATCAGAGAGCCTGGGAAGCCGTGGTGACGCCTCAGACCCCTGGGTCCACGTCACCACATGGGAGAGCTGGGTTCAGTTCCTGGATGCCCACTCCCGGCTTCAGCCCAGTGCAGCCCAGTGCAGCCCTGGCTGTTGGAAGCATCCGGGGAGTGACACCAGAGGTTAGGAACTTTCCATCCTCTCTCTCTACCTCTCAAATTAAAAAAAAAATTAAAGATTTATTTATTTATTTGAAAGGCAGAGTTACAGAGAGGCAAAGAGAGACAGGGGGAGAAAGAGAGAGAGAGAAAGAGAGGGAGGGAGGGAGGGAGAGAAGTCTTCCATCTGCTGGTTCACTCCCCAAATGGCTGCAACAGCCAGGACTGGGCAGATCCAAAGCCAGGAGCCTGGAGCTTCTCCCAGGTCTCCCACGTGGGTGCAGGGGCCCAAGGACTTGGGCCATCTTCTACTGCTTTCCCAGGCCACAGCAGAGAGCTGGATAGGAAGTGGAGCAGCCGGGACTCGAACCTGTGTCCATATGGAATGGGGCACTGCAGGCAGTGGCTTTACTCACTGCGCCACAGTGCCCCCCTCCCCCTTAAGACAGATTCATTTGAAAGGCAGAGTTATGGAGAGGCAGAGAGAGAGAGAGAGAGAGAGAATGTTCTTAAGACCCCTCATTTTAGAGGTAGATACCAGAGTATTTAAGAACACAATATAATGTCTAGGGTTCGTCCAAAGCCATCTATTGCGTGGAGGAGACTGGCTATGACTGGTAAATCGTGGAGGCTGGGTAAGGAATACGTTTTCGCCATTTTCCGTAATCGAGTTAAACAGCACAGAACACTACGTGAGCCAGCTGATGAGCGGCCCAGGTCCCATCACGACAGAAAAGGCACGCCGTGACTGTGCTGTCCACACGTGTCACAGGAACACAGTGCGCGATGCACACGCGCAAGCACTACGCGTCACTGGAGTCACGCTCTGAGCACGCTCCCCTACCAGGACTCACGCCACGCGCATCAGTTCTCTTCCAGATCTGCACGTGGCCAACCGAGGCCAAGGGCCAGGATCTGCATCCTCTACGGTGCCCACAGACACAGAACACACGCCCTGCAGGCACAAGCCCGTCTCTCCTCCCACTGCCAGAAGCACCCTGCCCGGCAGCCCAGGCGGCGCTGGCTTACACCACGGCCCGCGGGTAGGCGAGCTGCCACAGCCGGCTCAGGAGCCCTGCTGCGGCCAGGGCCACGACGCTCAGGTTGACCTCAGCGGTCACCACGACGGGGCGCTTCAGAAACTCCAGCATCTCCTGGCTGAGCAGGTCGGGAGCAGGCCCTGGGGAAGAAGGGAGAGTCACCGCCACGCACCTCACAGGCAGGCGGTCGGGGTCGGGGAGGGGCTCAGGGCTCCTGCAGGTGCTGCCACCAGGGACCAGGGTCAGGGTCTGGGAGGGGCTCAGTGCGTCTGCTGGTGCCACCACCAGGGTCAGGGTCAGGGTCAGGGTCAGGGTCTGGGAGGGGCTCAGGGCGTCGGCAGGTGCTGCCACCAGGGACCAGGGTCAGGGTCAGGGTCAGGGTCTGGGAGGGGCTCAGGGCGTCGGCAGGTGCTGCCACCAGGGACCAGGGTCAGGGTCAGGGTCAGGGTCTGGGAGGGCTCAAGGCATCTGCACATGCTGCCACCAGGGACCAGGGCCAGGGCCAGGGTCAGGGGTCAGGGTCTGGGAGGGGCTCAGGGCGTCGGCAGGTGCTGCCACCAGGGGTCAGGATCAGGGTCAGGGCTCCTGCAGGTGCTGCCACCAGGGACCAGGGTCAGGGTCAGGGGTCAGGGTCTGGGAGGGGCTCAGTGCGTCTGCAGGTGCCACCACCAGGGTCAGGGTCAGGGAGGGTCTCAGGGCGTGGGCAGGTGCTGCCACCAGAGGTCAGGTTCAGGGTCTGGGAGGGGCTCAGTGCGTCTGCAGGTGCCACCACCAGGGTCAGGGTCAGGGAGGGTCTCAGGGCGTGGGCAGGTGCTGCCACCAGGGTCAGGGTCAGGGTCTGGGAGGGGCTCAGGGCTCCTGCAGGTGCTGCCACCAGGGACCAGGGTCAGGGGTCAGGGTCAGGGAGGGTCTCAGGGCGTGGGCAGGTGCTGCCAACCAAGGCCTCCACAGACACTCGGGACGCCGGCGGGGACTCGGCGTCTCGGACCCACACTCACTTCAGCAAGTCCCTGCACGGACCTGGAGCAGCAAGACCTGCGCGGACCCTGACCCTAACCCCTGCGGGGCACGACCTGGAGCGAGACCGCCGCCAACGGACGGCGCGGCCGCCCCCGAGCCTCCTCCGGCCACATCGGCCTCGGACACTTGCTGCTGCCACCGCGGCCGCCTCCCCCCCCCCCCCCCCCCGCCCTGGGGGCCCCCTGCACCGAGACGCCCGCCCCGCGGGTCACCCCCACAGGCCGCACCTGCCTCCGACCGCCACCGTCCCCCGGGGCTTCCCCCGGCCCCGGGCGCCCCTCCACCCCCGCACCCCTTCCTTTCACTTCCCAGAGGCCCGGGTCCCGATGCTCGGTTCCCACACAGGCGTCGGCCCGGCCGCGCCCCCTGCCTGGAGGGACATGGCCGCCCCCGGCCCGCGCCGCGCTGACTGCCTCTTGGCCGGGCTGTCGTCCCCAGCGCTCGCAAACATACAAGCGGTTTCTCCAGTTCCCGTAGAGTCGCTCCCGCACCGGGACCACCTTGGAAGCGGACCGTTAGGCAACGGGCAGCTCGGAACTCTGCACCGCCCACCCGTCCCGCTCGACGCTCTACTCGCCGTGTCTGAGCCGCCTGTGCGACGCGCGTGCGCAGTGGGCGAGGGCAGTGCGCGTGCGCAGGCGCGCGTGCGCATGCGCATATGGGTTGCGGCGGGGGGGGGGTGGGGTGGGGAGAAGGAACTCATCCCCGGGGTATTGTGCTCGGTTTCAGTGCGCTCGCTCGGTGCGCCCGGTACCCCGCAGGGTCGCCGGGGTCCCGACGCCCATTGCAGCTTCCTGCCGGTGCGCACGGCCACGCAGGCGGGAGACCGGGGCCGGCGGCGCGGCTCGAGGGGTACGGGAGCAGGGCCTGCTTCGGGCCGGCTCGCTGCGAGTGCACCAGGAAGGCGGCGGTGTTCCCCGTGGGAGGCCCCGGCCTTGGCCTGTGCCACTTGGGGCCAGCGTCCGGCGGGCCACGCGCCGCCGCAGCCCCGCCCCCAGCTCTCTCCAAATGACCAAAGGACACGCGACCTGAGAAAGCATGTTTAGCTTTATTTTTTTAACTTTTTTTTTTAAATTTAAATAAGGAGAATTCTTTCATATGGAAAGAGCTAGTACAATCACATATTTGAAAGGAGAAAACAATAGGTACTGAACCGGAGGGAAGGGGCAGGGTGAGTGCCAGCGCCGCCTGGCGAGTCCTCAGTTCCAGTGCCCATCCAAGGCCAGAGTCCCCGGCCGCGGACGGGCGGGCTGCACAGCGCACCGCGAGCCATCGTCCGCCCTTTCAAATATCTGGTCTACGTGACAGACGAGAAAGGCCGAAATAAAGACAAAAGGAACGAAACCAAACACAACCTTCTCGAACAAAGCCACCCCGCACCCTTTACCGCGCAAGGCGCGAGCAGGGTCCCCCTGGACGAGGCGGCCAGTGGCGCACGCAGAGCCCGGGGGCGGCCGCAGCCCTGCCTCCTCACAGGCCCCCCAGGGCAGGCCTGCTCTGCAGGGGAGAGGGGCGACCCGACCCTGCGGGGAGGGAACCGGGGGCGAGGCGGCCGCTCACCACCCCACAGCCAGCACCCCGGGACCCCTAGAAGTGGGCTTTTCCTCACTGTGTCATAAAGTCATCCTGTCCCCCCCCCCCCCCCAGGAACCTACACCCAGACCCCACGTCTGGAGACGGTCACGTGAACAGGGAGGGGCGGGATGAGGAGCAGCAGACCACACGCAGAGCGGGTCCAGGGCCTCCCCTGTCCCCACCGAGGCCCGCGTGCACCTGTGCTCCCAGGGGCTTGAAATCAAAGCGAGACCCTCCATTCCTTTGCCCACCACCGTGAGCTCGGCCCTCCAACCCCACGGAGGGACGAAGGGAGCTATTGCACCTTCAAACGTCTCCACACTGAAAACTGCGCTCCGTCCGACCGTGGGGAGGGAGGGGGCCGGCGGGAGGCCGGAGGCTGCCCTCTGCTCCCGCGGTCTCTCCAAAACCTCCCAGCGGGGCAGCCCGGACCCTACATGCGACCTCCGGGCCTTTCCGGCAGAGTAACTGAGACGGCAGATAAACAGAGCGGTGACACGTGGACTTCTCCTCACCTACACCTACGACATCAATACATATAAATAAATTCTAGTGTTCTGTTTTTATTTGGGTGTTCGGGGAGGAAGGAGAACACAGGGCAGAGAAAGGGCTGGAGCGGGCGACCTCTTTATTTTGTCTCCAACAGGAAGTGCTGTCTTTCCAGTGGCCGGTGCACCCGAGGGCACGTCTCCGAACAGCGTCCAGGACGGTTCTGGGTTTCCTCCTTTGACAGACGTCGGCGCCGGCCTCAGGGCTGAGTGGGTCTGGCTGTGTTCTCACGGGCACAGGCGGAGGTGGACGCGCGTGGCTGCCGCTGACCCAGGCTCATCCAGGATGGCTTGGCAATGCGGTGCGGAGGGGGCGGGGCAGACGACTCACCACACAGGGACAGCGACCAGACACTTGAAGGAGAGCCCTTGCAGAGGGGCAGAATGACGAGGGGCAGAGACAAGCGAGGGAGTCTGGGGGTGGGGCCGGGGGGGAGCTGCTCAGCCCACAGGAGACAGCAGCCCATCGGGCCCTTCCTGCCCACACGGCCCCCACTCCACTTGCTGGAACCAGTGAGGAGCCACGGGAAGCCATGTGAGCAGTTGCAGATTCTACAAAAACCTTCGAGGCCAGAGCCCGGGCTGCTGTCACACACGCAGGTGACAGCAGGGCCCGCTGCCCGCGCTCGAGCCAGGCCTTTCAGAACTGCTGGTGGCCAGAGGTGGCAGCTCCTCGAGGTGGGAGTTCAGAGACCCGAAAGCACAGCTTCCCCTTCACTGTCCTTGCGAGGGCAGAATCTGGGTGACTGCTGCTGCCCAGGGGAGCCACGGCCGGGAGCGCAGGCTGCAGCGGCTCCCACACTTCGGGAGAGCTGGCTCCGCAGCCAGAGGACGCCGTCCCTTCTCGGAGGCTGCCGGGATGCGTTGGAAGTGTGGTGGGCCCTGCCCAGCTACGTGCCAATGGAGGATGAGTGGGACGGACAGACGCTTGAGTTTAGCTTAGGCCTGCTGCCTGCCCTGCACACGTGGCCCCAGAGGTGTTCACAGGGGCTCGCCACCACGCGGCGGCAGTGACGGGCTGCGTGAGGGCTGCAGGTTCAGGGACCCAGAGGAGCAGAGGCTCGGGGGAAGGAGGCGAGTGTGACAGCACAGCGGCCGGAGGCAGAGTGCACGTCCTGGCCAGCCTGGGACCCGGCCGCGACTCTGGCTCCACGATTCGTCTCTGGTGCCCGCCATCAGGCGGCAGCCTATCCGCTGGCTTCCTGGAGGAGCCGAGGACAAGTTCTGTGCCAGTCTGATCATGCTGAAACGTCCTTCTCAGGTCAGGGGCCGGAGCCGGCTCACCTCACCAGGGGCTCCCGTTCCTGTCCTACCCGGCAGAGGGGCAGGGCTGCGGGACAGAGTGCAGGGACACCACGGGGGGGGGGGGGGGGGGGGGGCGAGGAGCGTAGAAAAGTTCAGCTGTACAGGCGGAGCTGGCGTGGTCTTCCTCTCCTCTCCTCTGTAAAAACCATCACTGCTTTTAAAACAAGCCTCCAGCTGAAGTGACCCTGCGGCCTGGAGACTGCGCGGCGCCCTGGCTGCGCGGAGCAGGACGGAGGGGCGGGCGGGCGGCACTGCACGGAAGGCGACGCACTCCACGGTCACGCGGGTAGGAGGACATGGGAACGAGGGAGTCGTTTGCTTTTTTTCGTATCAAAGCAAGCAGGTCAATGCCGTTTATCCACGGGTACAAGCTGGCTGACGACGGAGCTTTCCGAGCGGAGGACCGGAGGGTCCAGGGACGCTCCCGAGCGTGGGCTGTCGCGGCGGTGGCGGCGCTGTCCTCGGAGGCGAGCGGCCGCTGGGCGCCTTCAGGCCTTGCTCTCCTCCACCTTGACAGCCCGGGGCTTGATGGCTCCAGTTCGCTTCACGTGTGAGGCAGCCGAGGGCGCCTCCTGCAGCGTCACAGCTCCCAGGCTGGGCTTTTCATCCACTCGTTTTGCCTTGGACAGACGGAGGGGGACAAAGAAAGTGACCCTCACGCAGAAATACATCTGAAGACACAGCTCCCCCCACTCCCGCCCTGCTCCTGAGTCGCAGAGGAAAGCGACCCCGAGTAGCGGGTGCCTGGCTGAAGGACCACACCCCAAAGGCACTTAGGGCCCCTAGCGCACTCTGGCTGGGACGCTCTGCTCCCATGCCCACAGGCGTCCGGAGGCAGGAAGAGCCGGGCCCTCTGCAAATTCAGCAATGCACACTCCAGGCTGGAACATTTCTGGCCCCACGGCTGACTGGAAGAACCTCTCATGTCAGTGCACCCCACGCCCTACGGGCAAGAAAGCCCCTTCAAGTATCTGAGCATGCCCCACGGGCCCTGGGGCCCAGCTGCCTGCCCGGCAGGCTCAGCTCTCCCAGATCCCTGACCACGACTCGCCACACTCCCACCTTGGAAAAACCTTCCCAGGACCCTCACTTGACCGTGGGACTTCCAGTCTGGGTTCCACGTCTGCACAGCAGGGTGTCACAAAGGGACCAGTTGCAGTTCTGACCATGACATGTGGCCTGAAACTCTGGGAGAAAGCTCTAGAAGCCATTCTGTATGACTCAAGTGGTGAGCCCCAGGGGAACCACGTGCGGAAGAGTGAAAGGAGAGCAATGGCGCCCCCACAGCCAGACTGCTGACAGTTCTTAACAGAGGCCTGGGGGCCCGAGCGCCAGGCCCGGCACCCACTCCTGAGGAGCCATGAGGGGCGCAGCGCGGCAGAAGACCCTGAGGAAACCTCCAGACCACACCACGCGCACGCCTGCTGCCCTGAGAGCCCACCCAGCCACGACACACACAGGACCCGGCACTCACGAGAGCTAGCACGCGCAACTCCCCGCGGGCGTCCAGAGCCCCCCACAGGCTTAAGCGCATCTCCCCAGGTGCCGGCACAGCCCCGGAATGCCCGGCACAACACCTCTGGCGGCACCTCCTCGGAGGACTCAGCACCCTCCCTTCTCTGCAGGACAAGGAAGGATCCAGAAGCCCGGCAGGCTGCCCAGCTCCCCGCCCCCGCTCCAGCTGCTAGGGCGCGTTGCTCCCTGTACACAGAGGAGCACTCCAATAGGCGGGCCAGCCCTTCTCCTCGGTGCTCGAGGCGGGGCCTAAGGGTCCAGGGCTGGAAGGTCTGGAAAGCCATCTTCTACCTGTTGAACGTAGTGTCCCTGTACAGAGCCCATGTTAACTGCTGATCCACAGGGCTTCCCACTGGGGCTAGCAGAGCTAGGCCTGAAAAAACCAAGGCAGGGGTTGAGAATACACGACGTGTCACCACAGAAACGGAGTCAAACCCTGGCCGGAGCCACTCGCTGGGATGGACACCACCAGACACAGGAGAGCCGAGTGCAGATGGGGAGAGGGCGCTCACACACCATCCGCCCTGGCGCCCTCGAGACACGGCTCTAGGAGCTGCATCCAGGAGAGAAGAGGCCCAGGGCCTGGGAAGGCCAGGCAGACAGCGACCGCCTCAGGTCGGAGGGCTGGAGCAACGTGATGGGATGCAGCCCCGGCCTGAGCCGCCCTGTGTCCAGGCTCTTCCGGAGGAAGGCGGGAAAACAAGTGTGTCCTGTTCCTCGCCAGCGTGTTCCACTCAGGGGCGTGAGCGAGCCGCCAGCGTGCTGACCAAGCGTGAGAAGTGCTGAGTGACAGCTCTGGAGGGCTCCCGGCTGCGGGGCTGCCTGTGCTGGGGGCACGGCCCCTCTCTGTGAGCGGTCCACAGATGCGGCGTCCCCTACAGGGCACAGCTCAGCTGCCGTTTCCAGAGAACTCTGGGAAACACTGTTCCGCAAGGTTATACCGATGCCCCCATCCCCACCTCCTCCCAAACACCATCAGAGCCAGTTTCCAGGCGTCAGTCTTAGTACTGGAAGGGGCGTGGTTCCAGGAAACATCAAGGACACCAGCCCCTGCAGACGTGCAGTCCCGTACACGGCACGGCAGGCTGCCTGCGGCGCGCCTGCGCACAGCCTCTGCTCTGAGGCCTCGCTCTGCTCTCCATGAACAAAGCTGCTGCCGGCCCTACAGACGGACAGACAACTCTTACGACCTGAGCGTCTCTGTTCTAGACGCTGCCTCCCTGAAGGCGGCCCTGTGGCCAGACGCTGACGGGACCTGCCTGTGACCGCAGGGGAGACACATCTGTCCCTGCTGTGTGTGGCTGTCCACCTGTCTTTTTACCGTTCTGTTATTTTGGCCAAGGTGAAAGAGAATGGCGGGAAAACAAAAATGCTAACAGACCAACAAAAGCAAACGATGCCAGGAAAGAAGAGGAGGCGGACCGAAGTCCCTTTCTCTGGAAACGATGTGACAGGAGTCTCAGGCCCAGATGCAGAGAGCAGCAGGGCAGAGCGGCCAAGGCACCAGGACGTGAAGAACGGGCTCAATCCAGGAAGCACCTGCACGTTTTTGGGGTAACCTCACGGCGCCGCCACGTTAGTGTCGGTGTCTCCCAGGGTGCTGCAGACCCCACTCGTTTAAGGGGGTGGGGCGGGGTCACCACACAGCCAGGGCACACTGGCTCCCCTTCCCACATGGCAAAGAAGCCAGAGGAAGCACAGCCCCGTGCCCACCTCCAGGGCTGCCTCCAAACTCAGCTAAGGGGCCCTGGGCCAGGCCCTGGAGCTGGTGACAGACGGAGGGTGCCAGTGCCAGTGTACAAGGTGGCAAGGACGGCCCCACAAGCCTGGTGACACCAAGCCCCCTGGCAGGGGCCAGAGCATGGAGAAGCCCGTTCCCTCCCCCTTGCCAGGATATGGCCGTGCTGGTCGGGAAGTCCTGTCAGGAGTCAGGTGGTCCTGACATCCACTGAAACATGAGCCGTTCCTTTTCCTGGCTTCCAGGAAGCCCCCTCGATGCATCTCATCACTCCCCATGGTCACCCGGGAAACGTGCATGTCCCAGCGCTCAGGCCTCACAGGTAACAAAAGGAGCAGAGACCACCTTTCTCTGGGCCCAGGTCACAGGTACCGCACACACTCAGCCCAGGGCCTGTGTTTACCTGTAGGCCTGCGGCGACGGCACGGAGCTTCCTGTGGGAACATTCTGTTTACTGTCGGCAAAGTGGAAGCCTTTCAGGTCCATCTGAGAGGACTGGAGAGACCAAGAAGGAAGATGGCGTCACAGCGGCCCTGGGCAGAGTGGTCAGGCCCAGCCCCTCCCCTCCAGGACCAGAGGGAGATGGCGTCACAGCGGCCCTGGGCAGAGCGGTCAGGCCCAGCCCCTCCCCTCCAGGACCAGAGGGAGATGGCGTCACGGCGGCCCTGGGCAGAGCGGTCAGGCCCAGCCCCTCCCCTCCAGGACCAGAGGGAGATGGCGTCACGGCGGCCCTGGGCAGAGCGGTCAGGCCCAGCCCCCGCTCCAGGACCAGAGGGAGATGGCGTCACGGCGGCCCTGGGCAGAGCTGTCAGGGCCCAGCCCCTCCCCTCCAGGACCAGAGGGCTTTCTTCTTTCTGTTAGTGAAGCAGAGGACTGGAGCGTCACCGTGCGCACAGGGACTGGGAGCTGGTGCGGAATTGGCCCCGGGAGCATTCCACCAGCATCTCCAGGACCTGCGTGCCTGACGGCCTCACCCAGGCCCAAGCCCCCTCCTCTCCTGCCCGGCAGGTGGAGGGGGTCATCTTTACCTCTCTGCTGGTGTTCAGGACCGGCGGCTGGGACCCAGGTGGAGGAATCCTCCGGGGAGCCCCGACAGACAGGCTCTGCCCGGGTGGCAGCTGGATGGACTGCGGCAGGATCAGCGGCTGCTGCCCGGAGCCATACCGTGGGAGCGGCATGGTCAGCTGCTGGACAACAGGACAGTCAGGAGGAGGACACACGTGGGAGGAAGTTTCAAACATGCATCCAAGAGAGCCACACGTTCCATCTCAAAAGCACGAGAGCAGGCCTGAACTCAGGCAGCACAATGAGTGGCAGGAGTGGCTGTCCTTCCTGGAGCGCAGTGAGCGGAGAACGAACGGAAGACCAAGCCGCTCGCTGCACAGGAGCTGATGGTCTGAGCAGCACTGCCCGCAGCCAGCACGTGCTCGCTGCGTGCACACGACGGCTGCGGAAGCCAGGGACACTACTGGACCCGACAGATGTCAGCGTGACACGTGCTCAACTCAGCCGTAGGCAAGGGGAGGACACAGCAGGGACGTCAGAAAGCCTTAAGTCTCACGTGGACTTCCAGTATCTCTGCCTTAAGGAGCAATGGCCGGGGCCAGCACTGGGGTGTAGTTGATAAAGCCACCACCTGCAGTGCCGACATCCCATGTGGGCGCCTGTTCGAGCCCTGGCTGCTCCACTTCCCACCCAGCTCTCTGCTGTGGCCTGGGAAAGCAGTGGAAGATGGCCCAGTCCTTGGGCCCTGCATCCATGTGGAAGACCGGAAGAAGCTCCTGGCTCCTGGCTTTGGATGGGCCTAGCTTCAGCCATTGCAGCCATTTGAGGAGTGAATCAGTGGACGGAAGACCTCTCTCTGTCTCTCTTTTCTCTGCCTCTCTGTAACTCTGCCTTTCCAATAAATAAATAAGTCTTAAAAAAAAAAGAGTGCTGCAGCCAAGCCGAGCCCGCAGAGCAGAAGCCACACGAGGCCTGTTGCTTGCACCTCTGTGCGGCAAGAAAGCGCAGACCGCTTCCTCCTGCGCCTCAGAACGGCGACAGAACAGGTGAGCACTGCTCCAGTTCAGAACAGGAAGATGGGGGGCGGGGGCCACTTTTCGTCTCTTCATCTCCCTGCCGCTGAGTCCGCCGGGGAGGGTCAGAGGGTCTACTGGAATCCCATTCCGAGACTGTTGGACCAGACTCAGGAAAACGCCATGCTCCTCCGTGCAGGCCCAGGGCGAGAGAGGACAGGCTGCCACGCGCTCTCGAAAGGCCCACCCTGGCCGCTGTACTGCACAGACGGACAAGGAGACCAGGAGGGACAGAACACTGTGACCGGGATGGGGGGATGACAAGTGCCTGGATGTATGGGTCGTTTTTAAAGGTGGAGCTGACAGGATCTGGAAGACCGGGGAGGAGGGACCTAGATCAGACAGCCAGAGCGCAGCAGGAAGGACGTCTTTCAGGCCACAGTCTCAGGTGCCAGGAGACACGAAAGCAGAGATGCTGAAGTCCACTGAGACTTAGGCCTAAGCAGTAGGACCAGGCGGAAGACAGGACTCCACAGGGATCAGCCCGTGAACGGGACCCAGAACCACAGGGTCAGCGAGTGGCTACCAGTACCACCCTGGAACCGAGTGAGGGATCGGATTCCAAGGTCAATCGCTGCGGCTGAGCCGCACAGCGCCCCTCACGAGGACTGCACTGCGCAGCAGCTACCGCTGACCAGAGCAAGCGAGACCTGCAGGGGTGCCAGGCGGTCAGAGGGTTTTGGAGGTGGGTCACTGGAAGGATCTGGAAAACTCAAAGGTGACAACTGCACAGAACCCTTCAACTTCAGATGTGGAAGAGGCAGAGCTAGCTGGTAATGACCTTGTCCAGACGGACCTGGGAGGGCAAGGTCCACGGCACACAGACCCGGGGTCAACTACTCAGACACCAAGACCACCGAAAACTAGGTCGGGAACACGTGGAGACTAAGCCAAGAGCCAGATAAGGAAGGAAGACTGCAAATCCAATGCTGGATTTAGTCATGTGGCACCTGGAGCAAATGGGGGGTTAGTCAGACATGGTCTGCAACATGAATTCAAAGCTGAGCTTCAGGCGAAAGCCAGGTGTTAGGAGTGGAGCGTGATGGGACTATGCAGAAGGGGCCAAGGGTTAGCACCCAGAGGAGGCAAATAGGCAGGTAACCCAGCCCTACAAGAGCAGGTGAGGAGAGGACCAAGTCACCAAGGAAGGCGAGCTCGTGTTCTGATTCCTGACCTGCGGGAGCTGCGAGTCCAGCATCTGTGAGGCGCCCAGGCCGGCAGCCTGGCCGAGCTGGCCCTCGTAGACCAGGGCTTGGTTTCCACTCATGGGCTGATAGGGTGAGCCAGACTGCGGCTTCACCATCTCCAAGGGCTGCATGCCGGGGAACGCCGAGTACGGAGGCTTCAAGGCTGTACCCCCAGACAGGATCATGGTGCTGGGTGGTGACAGGCTGGGGTTGCATATACACCTGAGACCTGCAAAAGCCAGACAGACGTCAGAATCAGATGGTAACATGCGCAGGTCATAGGATCTCTGGCCCCACCCCCAGAGCCTGAAAATCTGCATTCATAATAAGCTCTTAGATGGTGCTGCTGCCGCAGGAACTTTGGGCTAACTAATCCAACAAAGCTAGGTTGTAAGAGGCCCAAGACAGACACACTGGAGGAAGAGCCCAAAGGCGGGAGTGCAGAGTGACAGAGGGTGGGCCGGAGGCAGGATGACACAGGACGCTCACAGGCGCAGGCCCACAAGCCCTAGTAGATGGCACTCCCCCACCTCGCCACAGGGCCCAGGAACACCAGGAGCGAAGCCCTGGCTGCCCGTGCCAGGCCCCCCACAGGAGCTCACCTGAAGGGCTGTAAGGAGCTGAAGATCTCCTGGGACTGGGACAACGGGGAGCCCACCCCTCAGTCCGAGCTGAGCCTGGGCCTGCAGAGACGTGTGGAGGGAGATGGGGATCTGCTGGGCAGCGGCAGCCTGCAAGGAGTCGGGCAGGTCCACGCTGTGTCCCCAGGCAGCTGGCCCTCCCACCTCCCGGCCGCCTCCAGGGGGCAGCACCCAAATACAGGTTCCAATACATCCTTCCTGGGGCTTTCCCTTGCTCTTGGGATAAAGCCGTCAGCAAAACACTGCCAGCAACCCCAAACCATGGATATTCCCAGCCTGAATTCTGTACAGCAGCAAGCATGAGCCCCACCACACGGGTCAACACAGGAAACGGCAGAGTGACTGAGCACGTGCGGCCCGAGTCACGAAGCCGAGACCCAGCTGGGAATATGCTTTACAGGACGGCAGGACAGGTCACACCCTCTGCCCTGGCCTTGACTCTGCACCTGGAGCAGATTCGGTCTGCTATGGGCACGCCAGGGTGGCAGGACACTGGGAGGGCAGCACCAGGTCCAGGAAGACCTGCTCACTTCTCAAGCTGTCTCTTGCTAACGCATCCAAGCCCGCGCCTCTTTCTTCTTCGGATCACCAAAGAAAACTGTCTCAGCTAATTTTGCAGCTAGCGTCCAGGAGGGAAACTGGGCAAGGCGAGGCACGTGGGCTGGAGCATTTCCTCAGTGCCTCTTTCTTGTATCTGGTTTACAAAGTCAAACACACGGCTTCTGGCTGCCTTGAGAGGACAGGAGACAGGTGAGCGAGAAGCCACTGCACCTGTCGGCCCTGCCCCTCCCCCAGCCGCCGAGCTTGCAGCCTCACCTGTTGGTAACTCTGCTGCTGTGGCATTGTCTGAGGGACCAGCCGGGGCTGACTTGCAAACACGTGGCCATCCAGTACAGTGGTGGGAGGTGGCTGCCTGGAAACACAAGTGGGGGAGTGGGAGCAGGTGACATCTTGTGTTGTGGGTGTCCCATCCACTCTTCCCAAGACGGAACGTGCGAGTGTGCCTGTGCCAGTCTGCTGGCTTCTGCAGCACACGCACCTCGGACAGCCCGGGGGCCACAGCATCAGGCCCAAGAGCAGGGTGTGGGCCCCGGCCTGCCAGTCCCACCTGCCCCAGCCTGTCAGGAGGGGTATTTGATGTAACTGAGGGGTGCCGTGGTCTCTCAGTCACTGTCCTCTTCATCTCCCTGCTATTGAGTCCACAGTGGAGGGTCAGAAGGATCTATTGGAAGCACATCATTGAGACTTTGGCAGCTGGGCCCTCAAAATCCCCACGCTCGCCCTTGGGCACCAACCCAGGACAGGCAGCAGCAGCTCGCCCTGAGCTCATATAACCAGCACTTTCCAGGGAAGCCTTCCACGGAGCTTCACCATCACCATCACCATCACCATCACCCTCAGTTTACTTTCTGGAGGAAGAGGCCGAGCTGCTTTCTGGCATGGAGGTGCGCCTTGCCTGGGCCACTCAGGGGAGAGAAGTAAGTGTGTGGAGGCTGTGACCATGACCCCTACTTCTATACACTCAGGTCAAGGCAGAGGTAGGGCTCAGGACTGCGCACCCAAGGTTTTTCTGGATAATGGACGGAGAAGGCTCCTGTGGCCTGAGTGGGGATCGGGGGACGACAATACCTGGTATAGAAGCAGAAGGTGCAACAGAGGCCACAGGCATGGGTGGCATGGACACTCCACCGAAGGAGCTGTAGCTGACCCCACTGGAGGCACCCACGGAGGACGGAGGCTGGATGCCCGAGCCAGCCCCCCCCGGAGAGCTCTGCTCCGGCAAGCTGGGGGAGTTTTCCCAGGCCTTGCGCGCAGACTCCATCTTTGGAAGGAAGCGGGTGACGATAATCACTACCGGGGATGGCATGGACAGTACACATGCCGGCGACAGCATGAAGGGGGCTCCCTCCTCCAGTCTCCACCCGGCTGAGGCCCTGGCACAGCTCAGGGCTGTGTTACCTTCAGAGTGAGGTCGGCGGTGGGGAAGGACATCGGGGAGAGGCCGATGGCCCTCGGGACGTGCTGCTCCCGCCGGAGGATGGGGATACTCTGTGTTAACCCTGCCTGGAGGGGGAAAGAAGCCGTTGGGACACACCCGGAGCGGAGGACAGACGCAGCTGGTCCACATACGTCCTGCTTCGACCACTGCGCGCCCAAGACCCACAAGCTGGAGCCCGTGTCCTGTAGACAGTGGCTTTTGTCCCTTTCCGGGCTAGAGCCAGCACGACGCCCAACCCGTCCCCATGCCCTCCAGACAGGGGCAGTCATGTCCCAGCAACCGGCTCCCAGCACAGCGGCCACTGCACAGGCCTGCAGATACCCTGGGGTACAGAGAGGGAACGCTGTGGCTGTCATGCAGCCCCCAGGAGACAGAAAAGGGCCTCTGATGACAGAGACCGAAAAGGAAACAGCCAGGTTATCTTCCTGCAGCCCTCTGCCGGGTATACTACATGATTCTGAGTCACACAGTCCACACCCGCGTGACCACGGCACCTTTCTGTCCCACATCTAGATTCTCTGTAGCAGCATCCCTTCCTGAAATCCTCTGGGGGCTGCTGCCCCAAGACCCTCACTCACCCGCAGGGTCGACTGAGCACCAAGCAGTGAGGACAGAGCAGTGAATGCCACCGTGACAGCCGAGCTGGGGCCACAAGAGCTGTACCTCTCTGCTCCTGAGTGCACGGTGGAGCTGCAGACTGTGAGGACCCTCGAGGAGCAAAGAGGCCTCCCGAAGAGGCGTCGTCTACGCTCGCTGGACAGGACAGAGACCTGTTTCATCAGTCACGGCTGAACTGGTGCAACGGAACACTGCGGGCTCCAGGAAAGCCCTACAGGCCAGACCTCAAGACCGACACCATCCCCACTGGGAGGATTACAAGACTTGGCTGCGGAACCTGTAAAGCCAGCCTGGGGGGAGAGGGGGAGGACACGCAGCAGGCTAGAGGCGGAATCCCCACTCCTGACTCCGAAGCTCGCCCTGTCTCGTTGTCTCCCAGGGACCGCCAGCAGGACAAGCAGAGCTGGCAGAGGAAGCACAGACTTACGCTACTGGCCAAGGCATCCTGAAGCTTGACAACTGGATTCCCCGCAGGGCCAGAGGCAGAACCAGGCGGCAGGCTGAAATCGGAGTCTGGAAGAGAGGCACAGAGCCACTGACACCCCGTGGCTCACTCTCCCCCAGCACACACCACTGTGATCCCACGGTCACAACGACTCAAAACCCACCAAACAGCATTCACCCGAAACAGCCACAGGACTACCGCACCTG